CAAACTAGTTGTGGCAAGCTCTTTAGTGTAATTAGAATTGAGAGCTTGCTTTGTTATTTTAAGTTCATCTAGTAGAGATCTTTAGAGTAGCAAGTTTGAGAGTTCTGAGTGAGTAGTAACATTGCAAGTTGTGTGTCTAGTAATCATTACAACTAGAATTATTGGATAGGTGGCTTACAACCCTTGTAGAGCTAGAGCAAGTTTGTATTTCGCTATTTGTCATACTAATCAAATTGCTTTACTTGATTTGTAGATTTTTAAATAGGCTATTCATCCCCCTCTAGTCATATTAGGACCTTTCATTTGTGCGGGGATGCATCAATAGATTCCGGCTGCAGCGATGAGCTCGCAACCCACAGTGTGTTTACTAGCAGGAAGCCCGCAGTGAGAAAGTGATGAATCCGCATCCGTTTTGGGAATTGCATGCCCAACTTTTGGTTTCTAGTCTTCGTTTGGGCTTAGAAGCCATGATTGAAAATACTGTTGGCTAGTTTAGTGTGAGAGAAAAATACTGTTCGTTAACTGATAAGTCATAGCTTATAAGCCAAATACAACTCAGCGAACGGCCTCCAGATAGATGGAGCGAGTGTCTTTGCTTGGCCGAAAAGCAGACAAATCTCATCGGCCCGCGAATTAGGTTCTCTGATGCGTGCGTTTCCCTGCTCCGCCACTGAAAGTCTGAAAGGGGATGGGCCGATGGGGGCCGTCAGGTCAGGTGGCGAATGCCGATTGGCGACTGGCGACCGGCGAGAGCGTCGTTCCTCAACTCCGACAGGCGCATGCAACTGTTTTCAGAGTGACTGCTACTGCGCTAGCAGCAACGCGGCCGTAACGCAACGCAACGCAACGCTGGTCGTTGCAACAGCCGGGAGGAAAAAGAAAACGATCGACAACGGCGCTGATTGTTGAATCCATCCAGCGACGTCGATGCTGCAATGCTTGCTGTTGCTATTGCTAATGCTAACGTCGGGGACGGATCGTGGCAGGCGCTTGCATTGATTTCCCCCGCCGGACTGCGGGCATGTTTGGATGGAGCCCCGGAGTCGATCTGAGCGCACGTTTAGTTCGCCAAAGTTGGATTTTAGAGTTACTGTAGCATGTTCGTTTTTATTTGGCAAATAGTGTTCAATCATGGACTAATTGAGCCCAGCGTTTTTCGCAATTTTTGGCAAATAGCAATTGTTTTTCAATCATACATATTTAATCTTTCCCACGCGGGCCAAAACGTTCAACGCAGAATCGAAGAATCGCAACTTTTTGGAACTAAACAAGGGCTGACTGGATGGATGGGTGCCTGTGTCTTGCCTAAGATCCGTTTGAATGTAGTCCTGGTCATCAGCCTGGTCCAGGCATCGGTGTGCAAGCCCAGGCGTCCAAAAACGAGCGCCTGGCGCTGCAACACTTGCCTGGCTGATTTTGTACAGCATTAAAGTCAGTTCAGGTTAATTAACTATTGCCTTTTTTTTACTGTCAACAAATGACGTACAGCCGTACAGGTTGCTCCTAAACAATTCTAATCATGTTACTGTTCACCTACGCATGGAAGAGATCTTTTATTGTTCATCAATATTAAAGTTTATTTTGCAATCTAGATTATGATTATTTTATTTTGCAATATTAAAGCTTATTTTAAAAAGATCTTCGTTAATCATAAGTGTTAAAGTTATGTTATATTATATTAGAAATCATATTTTATTATCATATTGTTTCATCAGTCAGCACCAATCAGGCATATCTTTTTTATATTTGCCTGCCCGCAACCAACATCTGACCAGGCCTCAACCAAACATGCCCTGCGTGGGTGTGTCTGAATTCGATGCTCGTTTCCCGAGGCACACTGCACACATGCATGAAAAATCAAGCCCGCCTGCTGACCACCGGGCGGGCTGAGTGACCGACAGACTGACGGTACGAACGACCCATGGTTTCAGTATACCTAGCGTAGCGCTGGCCATGGTTTTTGCCGATGCGAGCACCGCTCCGATCGACCGCGTTGAAGAATACTAGGGGTAGCCTGGTAGGTGAATTGTTTCAAGCGAATTGGAACCGCCCATGGACCATGGTTTCAACTTTCAAGCGAATTGAAGGCCCGGCGCAGACCTGTTCTGTTCAGAGAGCTACTCCTCTAGTAGCTCGGCTCGCACAGTCGCACTATCCGCCTCTGCACGTCTGCAGCGCCCAGATCGGCGACGAGAGGAAGAAAAAAATGTGGCACATGCATGCAAGGTCGCCTGGTCCATGGGTACAGCCATACAGGCTACTACTTGCAGTTACAGAGGAAGGACGGGCCTACGATACAATTGCGAGACCGGTCCGGAGCAGGAACTGTGTCTGTGTGCGTTGCTCGTGGGGCTAGCCGGCTAGGAAAACCGTGGGTCATCGCTTCGGTACTGGATCGCCATTCCGGATGCATGCATGCGCTGGGACCACGGCGTCCGCGCCACGCCAGCCATTTGATGCGCCAACCGACTCCCGTACTGTACTGCCATGGGAGGAAGGATCCATCCATGGCGTTGGCCTTTGGAGGAGACGAAGGTGATTGGCTACCAACCATGTCGCCAACCCAAACAAGAAGAAATGTTTCCTTCTGGCTGTTGCATTGCATTTGCATCTCTCTGAGATGCTCTCGCGCCATCTTGTGTACAGTATCAGTCTGTTGTTATTATTACTCGACCCGTATAGAGAGATTAATTAGAGAGGATCAGGAATGCAAGTTCCGCCCATCTTGGCCCATTCCAGTGCTCGGCCTGCCAAGCGTCACGCTCGCGCCAGGCGCCCAGGCAGGAGGTTCGGGCGCTTGGCCCAGCCCGATAAGTGAAATGAGAACGGCCCATCCGTGGCAGCAGCGGGCGCTACGGCACTGTGAGAACGTTTCTCATAAAAAAATCTGCTAAAAAAAAAATCAAAAAAATAATAAAAAAATAAAAATGGGACTGTCAGAGCGGAACTGAAAAGGCGATTGAATCTCCTACAACTAAAAAGAACAAAGTGTGGACATTTTTTGGTACGACATTTGTTTTGGTTCGTCCGTCTACCCACGCCTGCGATCCCACGACATCTTAATTACTGATTGATCGTGCCATTCTTCTTGATTGAATATTGCCTGTCATGTGATAGAGGAATCACGGTAAAATAGGAACTAGAAAATTATTGTGCTATCCATATACACATTGCATGTTTGCATGCATCAGCATACATGGCAACGAGCAAAAGAAAAAAGAATTAACACAGAAGAAAAGAATTAAGACAGAAGGAACATCTTTGCATTTATAAGAACCTTGCCAAATCTGCCTATATTTAATTACTTCTCCTCTTTGCATTTACAAAAGAGACAGCTTTTTCCTCCTTTCATTTGGTTTCACGCTCACGTGTTCCATCGTCATCGCTTATTGTTTCTTGCGTGAACCATAGTTGATGTCATCTGTCTTCCATGGCTCAGCCTCCCAATCCCAAGAGAAGGACCCTACCTCTCTCTGACTGGAGATCCGGCCTGCCAAAGGATCTCCTCGAGTCCATCGGGCAGCGTCTCGCGTCAGGCCACGACGCGGCGTCCTTCCGATCCGCTTGCTCCCCATGGCGCACCGCCGCCCCGTTCGCGACCTTCGGGCCGCTCCTGCTGCTCCCGTTCGACCCCGACTCGGACCGCGTCAGCTTCTACTGCGTCTCAGAAAAAAAGGTCTTGTCCAAGACGCTGCCCGACGTGCGCGGCAAGGTGGCGTGCGGCTCCTCGTGTGGGTGGCTGGCGCTCATGGACGAGGCGGCGTCCGTGACGCTGCTGAATCCATTCGCCGGTGCCCGTGCCCCCCCCCCGCGTTGAGCTCCCGCCAGCAGGCGAACACGTCGCGGCGGCGTCCTCATCGGAACGCGTGTCTAGGATGCATGGCCGGTGGGTCCTCCATCCCACCAATGGCTACGGGGACGCGGATGCCGCAGGCAGAGCCATCAAGCTAGAAGACATGAGGAACGTGTTCTTCCGTGAGATCGTGCTCTCGGCGCTGCCTGACGTCGCCGGCAGCGAGTGCGTGGCCATGGACATGCTTGGGTGCTCCACGGAGGTCGCGTTCTGCCGGGTTGGGAGTCGACAGCGCATGGACGCTGCTCGACACCAAACTGGAGTTCTCCGTGGGGTCCATCGTCCACTGCCAAGACAAGTTCTTGGCGATCGACTGCACTGGAGAAATCTCCGTCTGCAGCAGCAACGCCACCGACGCTACTTCAATCGTGACGCCGCTGCCATCGCTGTCGCCACCTGCGGGGCTCTGCCACCGCAACTACCTAGAATCAAACGGTGAGCTGCACATTGTGGGTGCCATGGTGAGCACATTCCACGAGACACAGAGCTTCACCTACAGCAACGCAATCTACAAGTGCAACCTCCACGACCGTACGCCGGAGTGGTCTAGGGTGAGGGACATCGGTGATCAGACACTGTTCGTGTCTAAACATTTCAATGAAAGCTTCAGTGGAACAAGTGTATCCAAGTACAAGGAGAACAAAATCTACATGTCTGAGCCATTGTATGGGGATCCATACGACTTGGTTCATCGACTGGAGATCGTTGATATTGCTACCGACGCATTCGAAGTGAAGCTCGTCCAGGAAAAGATGCAGGGTTCCGAGGCTCTAGGTTGGATTCGACCCAATCTCTGGAAGCTCTAGAGTTTGTGAGCCTGCGACGTCACGCACTCCGTGACTGTGTTAAATTCATAAACTTTGCTTTTTGGATTAAATGTCACTTTAACATTGGTATTTAATTTAACAGTATTGTTATCTTATCGTGCGATCCGTGTGTTTTTAGTATAAATTATTAGTTATCCCGTAGCAACGTACGGACATGCTACCTAGTTAAATGATGAAAAGGGTAAAAGGCAAGGGAGAAGCAAGAATGAGAAAAGCCTTCCTTCCGCCTCCGCCCCTTCCGCAGGCACTACCCTGCTACCACGTCACCAGCCCACGAGCTTGCGCGGCGACTGCGGCGGCGGTGGACGGAGCGGGCCGCCATGGACTCCCGCCATGGCCAGCCGCCCCACTACAAGGTTCACGCCGCTTCCTCTTGGTGCTCGCTCGGCTCACCGTACCGTTAGTTAGGTCGTCTATTCGCGGCGGAACGGAATGTGGGTTGTGGCCGGGAGGGGGAGCCGGAGGTCATCGTCACCTCGAGGATCTGAGGGGCGCGCGTGCGCGGTGGTCATGGGGTCCCGTTTCTCATGACCGATCGATCACTTCTACTGTACGAGGGTTTCGGGTTTATTTTAGCCTTTTATTTAGGGCCGTATCGGTTTTGGTCGCAGCGTGATAAGCAGTTTTTTTGTGCGTGAATGTTCTTGGCGTGGTTTGCATATTGACCCTGTTTTGTGAGGATTTTGCTCTTAATCTGGCTCCCAGGTTTTGGTACATTTTTTTTTTGTCTCCAAGACTAAACACAAAGGTCTTTTGGCTTTGTATATAATAAAAAAAAACATAGGATATGTATCTAGATATTCTTTTTTTAAAGAAAAGCTGTCGGAATTATGTGAAAGCAAATAGATGATTATGTGAGCCTTCATCAGTTGAAGGGCTCATAAGCTGGAGTGCTGGACCACAGTTAAATGGTGGTCAGTTACCTTCATCTGAACCAGGTTGTCTGACGCTGCAACTGGCGCACTGCTTGTTTTGTTATGCTGTGGACACCCTTCAATCAAAGTTGGAACTGTAGTCGGTGCTTCGCAGTGTGCACCTTGCTCCTGTGCACTAGCATCAACTGTTACCAGTTCTTGGAAGTCATTTAGCCCTAAGGTTTCATCAGCATTCTTAACAGTAATTGCTATAGTATCAAAAGGGATTGAGGTACGAATTGCTTGGGTACTAACTATTGCTATATGTTGTGAAGCAAAGTACTCCTAGATAAGATTAAAAGCGATTGAGGTTTACGTGTGGTGTTTAGTGCTTACTGTATCTGTTTTTATTATTTTCTTATGCTTTATACACTGGCTTCCTTCTTGCTCTGATGTTCTTTTACTGCAAGCTTTGACACATTATACCTAGAGATTTATGTTTGAATAGGAGTACTTGAAAAACAGCTATTAAAGTGCCTGAACCGTAACTTGGGGCTCTTGGTGGGTTTCAACTCTAGCCTACCCAACTTGCTTGGGACTGGAAGGCTATGTTGTTGTTGTTGTATCTTGTGGTTCCACTGTCCTCCTTGCAGATCTATGTTAAGATGATGAAAACAGTGCCACTTGATGTGAAGTCCACTGATACCATAGATCAGATCAAGTCTCAGATCAGTGCTTTAGAGGGGATTGACAGTAGCCAGCAAGCGCTCTTTTTTGCTGGAAATCAGTTGGAGAAGGACAACGGACTTGCTGATTACAATATCATGGCAAATTCTTGTGTCGACCTTTATGTAACTGATGGGATGCAGATCTCTGTCAGTATCCCCTCTGTTGGGAAGACCATCAAGCTCAATTTGAAAAAATCCCAGAGTGTTGCTGATGTCAAGGCGGTGATCGAACAGAAGGGGGGAATTCCTCTGGATGAACAAATCCTGATGTATGGATGCCAAAAGCTTGAGGACAACAAGTTGTTGAGTCAGTGTGGTTTGAGCAATGGCCACACCCTGCATGTTTTGGTCTGCCCCACTGACAAGCTGCGTATCTCTGTGGATGTTGATGGTGAAAGAACTATCAATCTCGATGTCAAAAGCTGGTATACTGTTGCTGATGTGAAGTTGATGATCGACACCTTGGAGGGTTTACCAGCAAGCACACAGATACTCATGCGCACTCAACCTGGTGGTGCTAACACAGTACTCAAAGACATTGAAACACTCCAGAATCAACGCATCAAGAACAATGACATTGTCACTCTATATCTTAAAGTATACTTCTTCATCAAGACATATGAAGGGAGGACACTAATGATGTCAATGTGGACTTGTGACACGGCAGAGGAAGTTATGAAGGTGATTGAAGAAAAGCTCGAGGTCAACACAGGTGTCTACTACCTGCACTACAGGGGGCGTGTTCTGTCTCTTGGGGATACTCTTCGGAAGCACAAGATTGGCAACAATTCCACAGTCGATGTCTGCCTTCGGAATTCATATGTAGCGCATTGAAACAAAAGGAAGCCCTAGGGTCTTTTGGGTGTTAGGCCAAGGGGCAAAACTTAAAAAGTTGCTTAGCCCCAAAGAGAATTCTAACTTTGCCATTTTGCGGTCCTGCATACACTGCGGTTAGTTAGTGAATGTTTGTGGCTCTTGACTGGGTAAGGTCTTATATTTCCTGTCTGGTGGTTACACTTGCGTAGCCTCTGAAGCATGTATTGCCCGTCTGGTGGTTGTAGTGTTGTACTTGTGTAGCCTCTCAGGAACGGTGGTTGTCTGATGACTGGTGGTGGAGAAGATACAATTCTGTTATGGTTCTAATTCTATTCACTGTCGTTTCTAATTGTAGCATGTGATACTAAAACCCAGCATGGTCTCTCTGCCGTTGCCGTGCGCTCTCACTCGAGCGCTTGATAATGCCAAGCACAGCTAGAGTTTGATAAATGCGCAAATTGAGACAGGATTTGTACAACTAGGTTCCACCATTACCCTACTTTTTATCACCGCACAAAGAGAAAAGAGAGGTACCAAGTACAGTCCTAGTTCGGTGCATATGCACACAAACAAACTTCACGTTACACGAGCTACCGCAACTCTGTTAAAACATGAATATACACGAAAGAACAAGAATGGAATGTGAAAGTAATCATTGTTCATTGCCTTAATCGTTGGTGTTTGTGTACATGGTGAAAAGGCATACTCCCTCCGATTTCTAAAACAAAGTCATCTTGACATGATTTCACATACCAAGAAGTGATTAATTAGATATATATTTCCTACTTTGCCTATACTAAAAAGAGTCAAGGGACACTCCGTATCAATAACCTCTCTTTTCTTGATTGGTCATCCCTGTTCTGCGGCCAGTTTCGACTTGGACTATCGATGGAGATTTCATATCCTAGTTTTTAAGACTCGTATACTCTCTCTATCCCTAAATAAATAAATTTCTAGCAAGTTTAGGACATATTAGTATGACAGAGAAGGACCCTAGTACCCTTCATTAACTAGAGTAGTTGCACACTGATGGATGATTATTCCAGTTACACATTAATTATAGCATTTACTACACCAATCAAGTACATTGGATTGGGGAATTTGGGGGTTGTGGTGGTGAAGAGGGTGATGGGAGGGGTGTAGTAAAGGCGGTAAGACTCCAAGAAAAATAAATGGGTTGGTGAACTATTTAGTCTCCTACAGATTGATTTGTTTGAAGACAATTTTTTAGGCTAGAAATATATTTATTCAGGGATAGAGAAAGTATTGCAAATAGTGTAGATAAATTTCATCGTCATAAAACTAATTTCATTCCATAAGGGTACTCACAATGCAGAAACTATGATAATTTCTATAGATATTGAAAGGATCAAGGTGCCCAAGAGGGGGGGTGAATTGGGCTACTTCTAAATTTCTTTCAATAATTAAGCCCTACACTTAGCACATTTCACCTCCTTGTGCCTAGAAGTGTTTCTATTGTTCCACCGCGTAAAAGTTTTGCACCCTATGTTCCAATCCTACTCTAGCATGACAATTCTAAGAATGTAAAGACATGAATTGAATTGCTCAAATGTAAATCCTCGAAGTAAAGAGAAGGAGAGAAACGCGGCGATGTTTTCCCGATGTATCAGAGAGTCGTCACTCCCCACTAGTCCTCATTGGAGCACCCGCGCAAGGTTGTAGCTCCCCCTTGATCCGCACAAGGATCAAGTGCTCTCTACGGGCTGATTCTTCGACACTCCGTTGCGGTGAATCGCCCACAACTGCTCATACCATGACTTGGGTCATCCACAAGCTCCGTCGGATGATCACTAAGTTTTCAATCCCCACCGAGCCGTCTAGATGATGGCGATCACCAAGAGTAACAAGCACAAACTCTCACTTGATCAAGACAAGCCTAATGAGAAAGGTGGATGCACACTTGCTACTCCCTATACACTAATGAGGTCCTTAATCTTGGATTATCATATCTCAATCACCCAACTAGACTCTTGCTCTCCCTTGCACTCCAAAGATGTTTCTCAGCTAAACAAATAGGCAAGAGAGCTAAGTTGGACGAGTAGGAGAAGTATATATACTCCCCACTTTAAAACATAACCGTTATTGTCCAACTTAATAGTTTTTAGGGTGACCAGACGCATCGGTCGAAGTGACCGGACGTGTCCGGTTAGTAGCCAACGGCTACGTGGCATCAGCCTATCAGGGAAAGCTGTTGGAGTGACCTGACGCTGGCCAGCGTCCGATCAACATCCACCGGACACGTCCAGTCAGGAATTTTGGTCTCTGGACCCTCTTTGATGTTGACCTGACGCTGCAAACTCAGCGTCCGGTCATTTACTGTTCAGCGTCCGGTCCTCCCTGATAGCGAGGCCCTACTGCTACAGATACGACTAGAGGCGCGTCCGGTTCAAATCACTGTGCATCGTCCGGTCGCTCCTCGGCTTCTGTTGTGCGCGCTGATCACTGACCGGACACAACACCTGTGAATCCGGTCATCACTAAAACAGTGTCCGTTCAACATTTGACCCTCCATTCACTTTCAATTCAAAATCCTTTGTGAATGAGGTTGACTCCAATTGATCTTTGGGCTATTCCTGAGCTACCTAGTGCTAAGTTTGACAAGTGTGCACCACACCTAACCAGTTAGACTCACCTAGATCAAGCTACTAGTTCATACCCTTATTTCCATCGATAGGGGCATGAAAACCATAATTGCCCAAACAATCATCCTTACCATGACCTAACTCAAGTTGCCTCTACAAAACACACGTTAGTCACATTAATCTCATGTCATCATTAATCACCGAAACCCAGCTAGGGCCTAGATGCTTTCAATCTCTCCTTTTTGGTGATTGATGACAACACAACCTCTAGTATGTATAAGAGATGAGTGAGGTTTTCAACATGCTTGGTTCATATAAGAAATTGACAATAAGAACAAAAGGGGGTTAGGCATACTTATATGATCCAAGCCAATGCAATGTACTCATAAGATATGAAATACGTATGAGTACACAAAGTAAAGCTCATTTGTATCGGAGTAAAACGCGAAAGCAAAGTAAATGAGCATAACAAAGTGACATAACATATATATCAAAGTAGAGAGCACACATGTCACATAAGTTTCACAATCACACATATATCACATATAACATAATGCATGAGAGTAAACATGAATACATGAAGTATCACACACACAAAATCGAGTCCATCTCACAAGCTTCCCCTAAATCTAACATATTCGCTCCCTCTCCCCCTTTGGCGTCAAGCACCAAAACCTAAGGGTCAGATGGCGGGGTAGAAGCAGATGAGTCGGGCACTAAGGTGCGGTGATAGATCTGAAACTAAGCTACATCATCCTCGGACCTTGAACTCTAAGCGGTCAGACCCTCTATCACTAGAAGTGGAGGTGAAGCAGTCTGGGTCTACTCGGTGGACTCGATAGCTGGGCCGGACTATGGTAATGCTGAAGCTATGGTAGTAGCCTGACCCTGTGGCTCAGAAGGTGTCACTATAGGAAGTGGAGCCACAACTGCCGCTGTCGCTGTCGCTGAAACCTCAAGGGTGGGAGTGACTGTCAGAGGCAGCTCGGACGAAGCAACATAAGATAGAGTCGTCTCAGTAGTCTCTGTGACTGGAGCGACTGTGGTAGGAGCAAGGACTCAGAACTCAGGCGGTGTAGGCTGTCCTGTGAGCTCACTGAAAGTAGCACTCAGACTCCTAGAGACAGGGGTGTCCATCACTAGCACTGACGTGGACTGAGTAGGAGTGAAGCCCATGACTATAGGACTGAAGTGTTGAGCCTACTCTGTCCCTGGTGAAGCAAACCACTGAGACACCTACTCGGTAGGTGAGGCAAACTGTGCAACCGGTTGTCCCTGACTCTGAAGCCCACTGGGCTGTATAGCTGGAGTCACTAGGGTAGTAGTAGTAGGCTGACTGAGCTACAACGTGGGCTGGTGAGGAGCAATCCCTGTAGCCAAAAATACATGCTGCATGAAACCAAGAAGCTACTGCTGAATGACTAGCTGCTGCTGCTGCATGGCCTCCTGCTACTGCTGAAACTGATCATGACGTGCCTACACCTGAGCAATGGCAGCTGTTGTCTCCTGTGCCTAACGAGCCTGGTCCTGCCGCATGCGCTCAAGTATAGCTATCAAGGTAGGGTCTATCTACGACGACTGTGGCTGTGGTGGAGCTGAGCTGGAGCCACCGGTCTCTCTATTGTGTTCACATGGTGGCATATGCGGGATGGGCTGGTAGTCCTCATCTGAGCTGTCAGTCGGGTCGCTCTCGACCATGTCCTCCTGCTGTGCCTCTAGATGCTCTAACTCGGTCTTAGCAATGGCCCTGATGGCCTCGTCCTACTCAGCTACAGTCTCTGGCACCTCTGGTCTATGGCTCGGCTGGCTAGGAGTCCTCCCATGACTGTGACGTAATAGCTGGCTCATGTCGTACTATGGGAACTTTGTAGTAGCACCACTCCACTCAGTCACTGTCTCTAGGGACATCTGTGAAACTGCTTGTAAGATATGAAATGTGATCTAATGAGCATATGGCAACTAATGATGGCCTCTGAAACCCTCTGCTAAGGTGTCCTCCATCTCTGAGAGCATCACATCTCAAATGTTGAACACAGTCTGAGAGATCAAGTGGTGGACTAGCCAAAGCTGAATACATGTCAACCCCTCACGATAGCCACTCCTTGGGAGCAAAGACCTCCTCATGACTGCATCAAGGATACGAGCTGTAGGTGTAAGGTCATGTGGTGTGCGGCTCAATCCCTCTCCAAATGACTCAGTGAAGCAAGCTCTGACCAAGTCTGTGGATGGTACTAATCCACCATGAGGGCATCTCGGTGGCTCTGTCTCTCCATAACAGATATCATGAATCTGAATAGGAGACTCCGGAATCCTCAATATCTCTCTAGCCCTTGAGCTCTGTAGTCAGTAGTCACGACCTCTGAAGGCAAAGTGAATGTACTTGTGCCTTGGGTCAATCCACAAAGAAGCATAGAA